GTCAAATTTTAAGCAGAATTTCAGAAATAACACCCCAAAAAACTTGCATTTTAACATCTCTAGTTGTCTGTGCCCCATAGATAAGGGGGAGGTTTGAGGATGGTTCTTTGGGGAAAGCTTTCATTGCAGCTGCCCACGCTATGTCTGTTCTGGGAGGCAGATCACACGCCAGGCTGCAGCTCTGTCAATCCAGTGCTTCTCCACAGCAGTGAGCTATTTAAACAAGAGTTGCCCCTTTCTGATCCCTGTAGTATACACAGAGTAGGGCTGATAGGCATGGGTATGTATAACCCATTGCAGCTCCCTCAGTCTCTGTGCTTCCTGCTTTATTTCTACTGGCAGTTAAAGAATATCTGACGTTTCCCCTCCACTGACTTCATGTGCATTCTCCAGGAGCAAATGTGGGTGTGCACTCCTCTTTCTCCATAGCTGGCTCACTTGTGCACCTACGGGAAAATCCTCAGGCCGGTCCTAGCTGAGTACCAAGGACCATGCCTCATCTGTGTCTGGGGAGTGGCTGCAGAACTGCACTGAGGCATTTGGGCTGATGTCCTTTTCCCCACAGTGGGTAGTATCAGATGTTCCACAAGCAGGTGTTTTAGAATCCCAGTAAAGGACAATTGAGTAATCTGCTCATAACTATAACTTCTTCCTAACCTGCTCTCTTCTCCCCTGTCTCCCTTAGCCACCCTCTAAGTCATGGGAATCACATGGAGCACATGGATTTATATGTAGGGTTGCTAGGGGCCCGGTTTTCACCTGGACAGTCTGGTATTTGTGGCCCCTGTCCTGTTAAAAAAAAAATACCGGATATGTAAAATGTCCAGTATTTTCTTTTTTTCTTGGACGGAAGGCCGATGGGGACATTCTTCCCCTGCTAAATGTGGCAGGGTAGTGGGTGAGGGGAATTTAAAGGCACAGTGACGTTCCCCCCACCCCCTCTTCTCAACCAGTTTTTTTTCCCCACTATGTTCTGGGATTTTTTGTGGAAGTATCTGGCAACCCTATTTATATGGCTTGTTTTGTATCCTGTTCAGTGTAACTGGATGATCTCACTAGCCTTAGAAATGTCTAGTGCCTCTGGGAATGCTGTTAAAACTTTCTCATGGCCAAGAATGCAGGAGCCCTGTGTACTTCACATAAGGCCCCACCCTTGAGGTGTGAGGCCTAGAAGCCCTAATCTGACCATTCTCCACTCCTAACTACCTCATTGGGGTGGGAGGACCTTTGTGACTATGTAAATGAAGAGTGTGTGTGTGTGTGTGTGTGTGTGTGTGTGTGTGTGTGTGTGTGTGTGTGTGTGTGTGTGTGTGTGTGTGAGAGAAATTCCCTCTTATTTATTATGTTTCATCTTAAAGTGCCAGGGATGCAAAATAGTAATTTGTGCTGGCTAGCATTGACACACACGTGCATATACAACTGTTGACTGCTTCTTTCAGACAGACATGCATGGTAGGATGGGCAAACAGGCTGTCTGCAGCAGAAGCTGACACGTCCAAGCTCTGTGCACAGTGGGGTGATCCACAGCATGGTTTGTCAGATAAACATTCCCAGCTCACATGGGGCAGGGCAGAGAGACTTGGCAGCTGTCCTGAGCTACAGTCATGACTGGCACAGTTTGGAGGGCAGGGCTTAAAGGGACTGTAGGAAGTTTTGGGCGTGGGTAGATTCCAGGCCTGTAGCCACACATAATCCATAGTGGTTCTGCCTGCTGTGGGTTCAGCTGCTTTGACCTCAGGTGCTGGCTTCCCTGGGGAGCTTGGTTTGTTTTTCAGAGGTTTCCCATGCTGCTTGGCTCCTGAAGTGCAAAGTCAGCAGCTGCTGCTTTGGAACTGGGGGAGGGGAGCTTGGCAGCTCAGCCTGTGGTGGTTCTCATCAGTCCTCTGTAAACAATGAGGTGAGGGGGCAGTGTCTCGTGGGACAGGGTTAGCAAGAGGGATGCAAGGCTCTGAGGGTCTCCGGGGCCTATCTCTGCCTCTGGGGATGGGGGGGAAGGTAGCTGAGGGAGACTGGGTGGTAGCCTGGTCCCAGCATGCTCCCCTGTGCCCTTCACCATTTGTCTGTCAGGCCTCTGAAGCCCATTATTTGTAGCACAACAGCGTGACACAGACCTGGATGGACTGCTTGTCAAGGCCCATTCCTGGCGGTCAGGGTGGGACTCAGGGCCTGCTTAGCACTCTCCATTTCCAGGAGATAGTGGCCCCTGTGGGGGGAGGTGTCCTTGTCCTGCAGGTGGGTGCACAGAGATATGACTTACCCAAGGCCCCTCTTGGCCCCGGCCATGGCCCAGTAATGCAGAGAGCACTGCTACAAGGGGACAAGCTGTGGCCACCAAGGGGTTCCAACAGTCCACAGGCCTTTGGCTCCCTAGGTCTCAAGAGTGGGCACCAGTGTCACTGGATTACCAAGCTTAGCAGCAACTAAGAATCTGGTCGCAAGGATTCCCGGCTGAGAGGCACTGGCCACCAGTTTGTGCAGGGGCTGGAGCTGGGGATGCTCTCCCAGTATTAGACTGTGGGCTGGGCCTATGCAGGGGAGAAGGGGTCATGCTCTGGCAGCATCTGTGGAGAGACTGCCTTGTGCAGGGGGGTGGTGACTTCAGGTGCAGCATTTCGCTGTCTGTTTCCCCACATGGGTGGAGCCGAGAGTAGTGATCTGGCTGAAACGGGGGCGGATGAAGCTCTGCAGCCTGCTGCCTGAGGGGAGAAGCAGCTTTTCACCCACTGAGAAATCTCCTCCACCCTCTCCCCCAGCCTGTTAGGCCTACAGTTAGCTGAGCTGCTTTCTTCTGCTTCACTTTGCCCTCTCAAATCCTCCTTAAATGGAAATTGGCAGCTGCCTATAATACTTGTATTTTGCTTTGTCATGCTGTGATCTGTTGGATGCAGAGGGCTGGCATGTAGTGAAATATTGGTACAAGGGCAAGCACTGTGTCTAGGTGAATCTTCCTTCTCTTTAAGGGGGTTACGGAAACTTGAAAGGAACTAAATCAGTAATTTTCACACTTCCTCATTCCCTCACCCCTTTACCTGAGGGCTCTGATTTGAAAGAAAGCCAAGTGGCAGATCTACCTAGTGTCCAGATGCTAACACCAGCCCCTAGTTTGCCCAGTGCGGGGCACAGCAGATGCATGGCCTTGAGTGAGCCCATCGGGCTGCCTAGAGTCCCACCCTAATAGCACAGATTTGATACCAAGAGGTGCTGGGTGCATTCAGGAAATTCTCGTGAAGCTCCCAGCTCAGTAAAGGGGTTTCTGCTACCTTCTGGAGAATTGCAGACAAAGGGATAAGTTCTACTCTCTAACACCAGTGTAAATCCAGAGTAATTGCATTGACTCCAAGTGGAGTCTCGCCTGATTTACACTGGCGTAAGTGAGATCAGAATCTGGCCCACATACTTTTTTTTTTTTTCTCCTCATAGTGAAAGACATCGGTCTCTGCTCAGTAATAGACTTTGAAGTGAGAAGTTCTAATGTGCCAGAGGCTGGTTGAAAAGGCAGAAAATCCAGTCAGAACCTGGCAAAATGCTAAAGTCCAGCAAGCCTCAAAAAGACTGTTCCTTTTGCCAATTTGGTCAGGTCACAGCGCTCTCAGCCTCATGCTGGGTTGGCATTTTAATGTCACTCTGGCAGTGCAAAAGGAATCGAGACTGCCAAGTGTCTGGGAACTGTTGATTTGTGACTCTTTTTAAAAGTACAAAACACAGTCGTTGGATGCCAGGGAAGGGTTGGAGGGTGACTTTGTCTGAGAAGGTGACATGGGCTCTGAGGAGCTGCTTTATTGCCAAGGTAGAGGGGCTTGTGAAGTAGTCTGTGCATGGAGCAGTGGAACTCAGTTGGCTGTCCTCCATCTTTCCCTTCCATTGGGAGCCACTTAGTAGGGACTAGTTAAAGCTGGCCCTGACCAAAGCTATTGGAAGTCCAGACTGGCTGCATGATGGTGCAAATTGCTGCATTGAGTCTGGTGACCTCAGTGTTTGTATCCTCCCAACGTGAGAGTGGGTGCTGGGGACTTGCCTAAGAGGCAGCAGAGCCTATGGACAAGTCATGGGTACCAGGCATCCAGAAAGTTGGATCTGTCCCTGGCTTTTTCCACTCACTCCCTAGCCGATCTTTGATAAGACACTTCACTTCAGTGCCCCATCTGTAAATGAGAATCCCTATGTGCTTTGAGTACATTGGGGGAAAAAGGCATTTGGTAAGCGTGAGTATCTGCTTTGCCTCCTCCGCTCATATTCCTGTGACTGTAATGCCATGGTTAGTAGAAGTAATCCTACAAGCCAGGCCACCCTCAGCAGACTTTGTAGATACACCATGCTTAAGCCTCCTTAGTTTTCAGTTTAAACTGATTTTATTTTTACCAGAATAAAAATCCCAGGTTTTAAAAACAGTATTTGGTTTTTTTCAGACTTTCCATCCTGCTTTTGTATCTTTCACATATATAACAAGTAACTTGTTTTATTAAGAAAATACAATACATTGCATGAACTATAGATGTATTATGCTAATACATTAATTTGTGTGTTTGCAGAGCTCCCTGTTGAAGTAAGGCTATGTAATAGTAGAAGATACACTCAATAAACAAGCATGCACACAAGCTCTGAAGTGCATAGGCCTCTGAACATACTGATTAAGCTCACAGCCACCACATACACATTTCAAGCTGCTAGCAGACAATAGTGGTTTAAAGACTTGATACACCAAAATGGAAAGAAAACCAAAATCTGTGTCAGAATAAGCATCAGATCACAAGTATGTGTTCAAAAGTAAAAAAAAAAAAAAAAAAAAAAACAGGAAAAAAAGGATGATGTTTGTGGCCTAATTATTAAATGCCAATATTTATAGGCGAATAGTTCTAAGTCCATGATAGTAACTGTTTCTGCAAATGAAAAGTTTTATTTGGGGTCTAGTGATGTGTAGTTTTTGTAAACTCTAAGGTGGTGATGTGTTTGAGTTCTGTTTTAGTTTTGCAGCAAACCACGTTGAATTCCAGTCATCAAAATGTTAGTGAATATCTTTTACCCCATCCTATCCACCAAAATAAATTCCAAGATTTACCCAGAAAATAATTTTTTGTGCCAAATTTCATGTTTTTATTGTTTTAATAAACATATATTCCAGGGAAAAAATTAAATAAAGTGAAAACCAAAAACAAAGGGCCCTAATCATTGCTGCATACGAGTGGGAGGGGGGATTGGAAGGAGAACAAGCAGCCTTTGCATCCACTACACTAGTCTCTTGTGGTTGGAGCAAAATTCTTCAGCAATGCTCTTTCCAGGGCTATGCAGTAATGTTGTCGCTGAGCTGGTCCCAGGATGGCAGAGGGATAAGGTGGATGAGGTAATATCTTTTATTGGACCAACTGTGTTGGTGAGATACAAGCTTTCAAGAATACACAGAGCTCTTCTCTGGGTCCAATAGAAGATATTACCTCACCCGCTTGTCTCTTTATAAGGCTGGGCATTCTCCCCAGGAAGGGGAGCAAACAGCCTCTTCAGCAGCAGTTCAGCTGTGCAGTGGATTTATTGGCAGCATTGCCACAGCTCAAGGCAAGAGATCCTAGGGCACTCGAATCCACAGGGGCTTCCTAGAACAGGATGAAAAGGAGCTTCTGTCAGGCACAGGAGTGTTTGTTTATTCTGAAATCAGCAGCAGGAGCTGGAAACAGCAGCCATGGGAGAAAGCAGTGTGTTTGCAAGGCAGTAGAATTATGGGCTTAAACTAGCCAGCTGATTGTATTGTGTAAGGGTATTTTTATTACTGTCTGTGCCCAATTCTTCCCTAGAGTCATGTGAGTGGAGTTACCTGGGAAGAGTCCATTTGTGGGCTGGCCCCATTGGGCTGTGCAAGAAATGTTTCCCCATGACTTCCTCATAAAATAATAGCTGTTAGGAGCCAAACTCAGTAATGACCTACGTATAGCTCTGCAGAGTGTCCGTCAGATGTAAGGAAACAGATGCAAGTGGGAAGACAGAGTTTCTGGCACTGATCTACCATCTGGAGGGAGTGGGCAGAATGGGCAGGGTGCACGAATAGGTGCTGGGAATGATAATAGGAACCCCAAAACCGCTTGGTTTTGTCCAGTTTTTCTGGATACCTACCCTGCTTCAATAAGAGAGGTTGCAGGTGGCTGTGCTAAACCACAGTGGCCAGCTTCTGGGCCTGTCCTAGAAGGGAAGAGCCAGCAATGGATCTAACTGTTCAGACTCCTGTAGCAGCTGCACCTCCTAAGCACGGGTCGGCAGCAATTTTTGCAGAATTTTGGTATGTACTCACGGGCTGGCTCCACCCCCTGGAAGGAGCAGGGCTCAGGACAAGCCTCCCCGCAGAGCTGTGTGGGGCCAGAGGCTTTGAATTAAACATAACAAAGGTCTCACAGCTCCCAGCCCTGCCACTACCACGTTGCCTGGCAGCCGCACAGGGTTGCTGCAGCTATTTAAAGGGCTCCAGCCCCTGCTGGGGTAGTGCTGGGACCATGGAGGCATTTAAATAGGATCCTGAGCCATGGAAATTTGGGCAGTAAGATATAAATAGAAAGTGGTCTCATGCAGTCCGCGGGCTAGATCAAAGTGTTAGGTGGGCTGGATCTGTCCAGAGTCTGGGGCAGGTTTTGCCGGGCTGAGGAAAGAGGCTTCTCCGGGGAATAGCTGTGCTGATTCCTCCCACTGTTTGAAAAGCAGCTGCCTGCCATGTTCCTCCCGGATGATGGGAAAAGAAGTTGGTGCTTTGAGGGTGTGTGAGCGTGAAACCAGTTTTGCCCATAATTAAAAAGCCAGAGTGAGCCTGCAGGGAAGCATGACACTATTAGTATTTCTGGGAGAGAGCCAGCCCCCCTGCTCTTGTTACTCCAGAATGGAAGAGATACAGGATGAGGTAACCTGCTTGGAGTGCTTGTCTTCGGCTGCGTAACAGATGGGGTGACAGCACAATGTGTAGGAACTGAGATTTGGCGCACACTTAAGGCTCTTGCCAGCATTACCAGTTCTTGCACTTTTATCGTGAATCACGTGACATTTGATTTTTCTGAGAACCCCACCTCCAGGATTGTGTGGTGACTTCCAGAAGGTCTCCCGTTTCCATTCAAAATAAGTATGCTTCTGTCTCTCATAAGTGCAGAGAGGAGTTTGGAAAAGGTGAACCAAGAAGTCCCAAAATCAAAGGCCCCAAATATTTTTTTTAAAGGCTTGGAATTTTGCAGGGGCTCACTCCTGGTTTTTGAATGCTTGGAATTGTCAGTGTTGCTTCAATGCCAGCAAAGCTCCAGTGAGTTAGGGCTATAATGCTTTGGAGCTGTAAGGGGTGTGGTTAAGAAGAGGTCTGTTCTGAGTTTCTCCTCTATGATTTATGGAGGAGAAACCTCAGCCTGTAGTGGATCCAGGGGGGTGTCTGTTGTGGGGATGGGTTTATGGCAGTGTTCCCTGTAAGGGAAGATTGATATGTGTGTATACAGGGATCCCTGAGAAGGCAGATGAGGGGTGCGCTGTAAGACCAGGAGATTTTGGGTGGGTAGGCTGTGAAGGAAAGTAGTAGATGCTGGGCTAAAGTGCACCCCATACCTCTCCCTTCCTTGAAGATGCTCTGCTAGACGAGTCACAGCTCATTAGAGGAAGCATGGGGAGTGGGGAGAAATCTGTTTCCTTCCTGGAGAATGTGTCTGAGAGGAGAGAGACAGTGTCCAGCATGCTGCATTTCAGCATGGCGGTGCATGGATGATACCCTCAGTAATACCAATGCATTGACAGAGCAACTTTTTCTCTGGGTCTGAAGCACTTTGCCAATGTGAATAGGCAGCTTTTCCAGCCCAAAGCAACCAAACTCCTGAATCATGGCCCTAAAAACCATGAGATTGACTTTTTAAAAAAAAAATAAGACAGCCTCTGAATGACTTTTAAAATCCTGGAGGGGTCATCTCTGTCTTTAGGGGCTTGAACCTTCCTGAGTCATGACTGTTAAAAATCTAGTTTTTAAAAGAAGTGGAGCTGCTTCTCATAATCCCATGCCTCTGGGAGCTGCATTTTTAAGGAAAACAACAAACACATCCAGAGTCGGCAAAGTTGCACAGGCTAAGCCTATAGTATCTGCAGCACTGGGAACAGCCACCACGAGTTTGGTAATGGCTAGACCAGGCACCCTTGAAACAAAGAAAGGATAAGGGGGGCCCAGAATGTAGAGAGGTTGGGGGGCTCCTTCAGTGGCACAGTGGATAGGGTACCCATCTCCAGAGCTAGAGTTCAAGGGCTCAAGCCCTACCTAACCCCCACCCCCCAGGGACAGCCAACCCACACCCCCAAGGGACAGAGCTGGCACCCTTGGGAAATAGGATGGACAAGGGGGGCCCAGAATGTCTCCAGTTTTGCCCTACAAACTAGGGGAAGAGGCCTGTGAAGTATGCAATGATGCTCAGACGGTTGGAAGAATTGCACTGCATCTGTAATGCTGAACTCTTTTAAATGCTGCATGCTCTGTGCATGGCTGGTTGGGAACCACAATTCCAGTATTGGTGCTTTCCCCACAAAAAGGCAGAGGCGTTTGTGTGATGGGCCCAATGCAGTGTGCTGCCCCTGACTCAGCTGCACAGTTGCTGTCCTAGAGAAGGCAATGTGTGGCTAGTGGCATGATGAACAGTAGACAGGAGATTTATGCTGCTCCCAGCTCTGCTACTGATCTGTAAGGTGATGTTGGACAAATCACTTCACTGCTCTGTGTATCAGTGTGCTCATCTGTGAAACTGGGATCATGGTCCCAACCTCCTTAGTAAAGCGCTTGGAGATCTGAAGCTGAACAGCATTGTGTACAAGCTAGATATGGTTTGATTGTATCTAAACTCCGTCTTGGAACACATGCCTCCAGATGGGAGATTCAAGAAACTCCTGTTGCCCCCAAAGACTGAGAGCTGCTGCTCTGCTGTAGGCAGTGACTTGAAGCAGCAGTGTTTTCTGAACCCTGCAACACCCACGCAGCCTCCCCTCCCCTTGCAGTTTCGTTTGACCTAAGTGTCTGCCTTGTGTTTGCCTTTCCTGCAGGTCAGCAGCGTAAGTTCAGAGAGAACCTCAAGTTCCTTATTCTTGATGCAGAGCAAATCATAATCTCTGAGTGGGCTGGCTCTTGTGGGGAAAGATTTGTGGAATGTTGTCCCTCTGGGCCATTCATAGCTCTGTCCAGGAGCCAACCCACCCCTGCTGCCCCTGCAGCTACCCAGCCAGCATATCCTGTTTCTTTCATGGGGTGTTTTCTGTGTTGTCAGCGGCCTGACCAATGACAGCAGAGCACCGCTCTGCTGAGTCATGCTGGGTAGCTATTCTCCCTGAATGAGAGCAGCCGGAAAAGGGAGCTGGTGAAGTGGCCAGGGGCACCAAGGGAAGTTAGGTTTCTGCCCCCCAATGCTTGTGCCTCCCATGCTGGCTAGAAACTAGAGAGCTCCTCTGACCCTTTCATGGGTCTCAGGCGCGGGAGTTCGCAGCTACTGTAAGGCACAGCCCAGTGTCTCTTTTCTCAAAGGGCAATAATGTCTGTGCACAAGCCTATGACGGGAATGGGACTTATAGACTAAGTGCCCATTAGCAGCCCTTTCTCTGCTTGCATGGCTCCTTTGTTTGATCTGGGTTAAATATCCTACAGTCCATAAGCACCACGCACAGAGTTGGGGTGATATTCCAGGCGAGTTTAATAGCTGAACCATAGTCAAAAATGCACCTGGTCAGGCACCCCAACCACTGTGGAACCAAACTTTGTCATTAGGCTATAGACTAAGTGCCCATTAGCAGCCCTTTCTCTGCTTGCATGGCTCCTTTGTTTGATCTGGGTTAAATATCCTACAGTCCATAAGCACCACGCACAGAGTTGGGGTGATATTCCAGGCGAGTTTAATAGCTGAACCATAGTCAAAAATGCACCTGGTCAGGCACCCCAACCACTGTGGAACCAAACTTTGTCATTAGGCCAGACCAAAAGCAGCCCCTAGACTGCCACGGACAGAAGGGTGCTTCAGCTCTTCTGAGCTCCCCTACAGGGCCGGAAGAAGCTGGGCTTGAGCAGCCCCTGTCTGCATCAGGTGAGAGCCACTCCTGCCCAGCCAGGTTGGAGCGCTCCCCCTCTGCACACACCCCTCCTTTAATTGGTTAACTGGTTAAACCAATTAAACAGGATTTTACATCCCTAACTCCAATGTTTGGCTCCTTTGGATTAGTTTGAGGCTCTCATGGAAACAGGCTTTCTACTGTGCTCTTCAGCACTGCTCACACTGAGACCAGAAATCCAGAGAACCACCTCGCTTGCTCTGATCACATCCAGGTCCGGAGTAAATTCAGAAGTATCAGTGTGGAGGCAAACAAGGCCCAACCACCTAAGATTTAACCTAACTCTTGCTAGGACTGCAACGAATCTTAGAGCTACCGGAGAGGGCAGCAAGGCTGGGTCAGGCTATCAGGGTTATGGTAGAGCCAGTTCCTTTTATTCTGTGACAGGCAATCTGCCCATTCTAGGTAGAGGTGCATCAAGATGATGAGCCTGGTTACATGAATTTCCCAGCTAAAGAGTGACTTAGGGTGCTGTACTTCAGTGCTAAGGGCATCTGGAGTCATATTCTAC